GCTTGACATATTCATGTCTCAAGCTAATATGTCTAGACTTTCCATTGTATACCTTATTGTATGCTCTAGACAAAGTAGCCTCACTATCACAGTATAAAGAAATGGATGGCATTGGTTGTGGCCACAACTTTATTTCCAATAACAAATTTCTAATCCATTCCGCTTCTTTACCTGCTGCTGCTAATGCTATAAATTCAGATTCCATAGTTGAATGTGCTATACATGTTTGCTTCTTCGAAGCCCAAGAAATTGCTTCTCCGGCAATTGTATAAATCCACCCTGATGTAGACTTATTATCATTAGCACTTGTTATCCAACTTGCATCTGAATATCCTTCAAGTATTGTTGGAAACTCAGAGTAAGTTAAACTCAGGTTAATAGTTCTTTTAAGATAACCAAAAATTCTATTTATTGCTTTCCAATGAGCAGTACCTGGATGACTAGTGTATCTAGAAAGTTTGCTTACTGCAAATGCGATATCTGGCCTGGTACAATGCATGACATACATTAAACTTCCAATTACACTAGCATACTCAAGCTGTGCAACAGACCTACAAGAATTATTAAGCAAAATCTCACTAGGGTCATAAGGGGTATTTGCTTCTTTTATTTGTAAATGCTTAAACTTAAGAAGCAATTTTTCTATATAATGTGACTGACACAAAGCGTAACCCCCACTATGCTTCTTTACTTTAATTCCCAAGATAGTATCTACTTCATTCAAGTCCTTCATCTTGAATTTTGAATTTAGATACTCTTTAGTTTCAGATACACCTTTCATGTTTGTACTAAAAATTAGCAAGTCGTCGACATATAAACATATAACAACACCATAATCATTTGTGAATTTAGAGTATATGCATTTATCAGCACTGTTATGTCTAAATCCATATGATAAAATGACAAAATCAAACTTTTCATGTCATTGTTTTGGTACTTGCTTCAATCCATATAATGACCTTACTAATTTACAAACCTTATTTTCATTCCCAGGGAGAACAAACCCTTCTGGTTGTTCCATATAGACTTCTTCATCTAAATCACCATTTAAAAAGGCCGTTTTCACATCCATTTGATGCACATGCAAATTATATAAAGAAGCCAATGCAAACAATATTCTAATTGATGTGAGCCTAGCTACTGATGCATATGTATCGAAATAGTCTATTCCCTTTTTTTGCTTAAAACCTTTGGCAACTAGCCTGGCTTTAAATGTCTGAATAGATGACCCGTTTGTATTGTATTTTCTTCTAAATACCCACTTACAACCTATTGCTTTTGATCCTTGGGGCAAGTCTACTAAAACCCATGTCTGATTAGATATTAATGATTCAAATTCATCATCTATAGTCTTTTTCCAAAAGGCTGCATCTCTTGAAGTCAATGTTTCGCTTAGACTTTTAGGATCATCCTCAACATTCAACAATATGAGTATTTTCTTAAGAACCTTTGTTCTATTTCCTTCGACTAAAAATACAATAGATTGAGATGAAATAAAATCAGGGCCTAGAGTCTTTTGTTTTCTTACCCTTTGGCTTTTCCTTGGTTCATTAACAGTTTCAGACTGTTTTCTTTTCTCACCTTGAGATTGACTAGTAGACGGATTAGAGAAATGTGTTTGATCATTCTCTTTTCCAGACACTGAGTAGTCATTATAGAATTTATTTTCTATAAATTCGACATCTCTAGACTCAACTATTGTGTTCGAGTCTAAATTAAGCAACCTATATGCCTTTGAATTTTCTGCATAACCTACAAATATGCTTTTAATTCCTCTTGGACCCAACTTGGATCTCTTAGGATCGAGTGCCTTATAAAAAGCTACACAACCCCATACTCTCAAATATGACAAATTTGGTTTTCTTCCTTTCCAAATTTCATATAGTGACACATGTGTCTTCATAGATGTAATTCTATTGTGTATATGGCATGCAGTAAACAATGCTTCACCCCATAAATATTTTGGAGTATTAGCATTAATCATCATAGAATTAATCATTTCAGTGAGTGTTCTATTTTTTCTTTCTGCCAAACCATTTTGTTGTGGTGTATAGGGTGCAGTTCTAAATTTAGAACAATCATCTATAAATGTGATAAAATATCTTTTTCCTCCTCTTGTTAAAACACCATTAAATTCACATATGTCAGAATGTATTAAGTATAATAAATTTGTATTTCTTTCAGTAGTTGGAAAAGGTTTCTTAGTCATTTTCGCTTGAATACATGTTTCACATTTATCATTATAATCATCATTGCAAGCAATAAAACCAAGTGTGCGCATGTATTTTAAAGATCTAAAATTTATATGTGCTAAACGTAAATGCCATAAATGAGAGGAAGATTCAACAATATAAACAGAAGAATTCACTTTATTATTAATACTTAGTTTGAACATCCCATCACAAGAATATCCCTTCCCAACAAACATCTCATTTTTCGACATTAATAACTTGTTGGACTCTAGAACAGTCTTTATACCGTTCTTACATAATAAATTTGCAGACACAAGATTCTTTCTAATTTCTGGAACATACAGTACATTAAGCAACGTCAATTTCTTCCCAGAAGTAAATTGAAGTTCAACGGTTCCTTTTCCTAGAACTTTGGCGGAATTATGATTCCCCATTAAAACTTCTTGATTGTCTGTTGATGCTTCATATGTCTTGAATTGTGCCTTGTCATTGCACACATGTATAGTAGCCCCTGAGTCGAGCCACCAATCGGAGGATTTTATTACCGCTGCCATATTAAGTTCGGTAATCATGCCAATATGCATCATTGATACCATTGCAACAATGTTATCAATTCTAGAGTTTTCCACCATATTTGCGCTATTGGTCTTATTGACATATTCCTCACTTGCTTTTTTGTGTCTACAATCACGAATGTAATGGCCTTTCTTTCCACAATAGTAACATACACCATTTGCATTCTTTTGATTGTTGTTGGAATTAGTCTTCTTAAACTTCCCTTTGTCAATTTTGACTTTGAAGTTCTTTTTATATTTGTTTCCTTCGACAATGTGAACTTTAGAGAAATCTTGATTTGCAAAATTCTTATCACAATTTCGAGTTTCCTCTTCAATTTGAATACCCTTTTGCAAATTCTCCAAACTAATATCTTCCACATGTGTAGAAGTTTCTTTCTATAGTTATTCCTTGTTTGGGGTAATTTTGCCATAATAGCCCCAACTATCATAGGATCCGGAATAATTATTTTAAGTCCACGAAGCTTTGAGACCAAGACCAATAATTCATAAACTTGGTCTAGGATGGGTTTGTTATCAAACATAGTGAATTCATAATATTTGAACATTAAAAATTTATCGGTACCTCTTTTTTCCGTTGTGTACTTGTGTTCAAGTGCTTCCCAAATTTCCTTTGGAGATTGAATGTGTGCATACAGGTCATATAAACGATCAGATAATGTGCCTAAGATGTGTCCTCGACATACCAATTCATCTTCTTCACGCTTCTATCGATCGGCAACTATATTGTCCGAGTCTTTGTCACTTGGTTCACAAATAGGCTCCAATTTCGGGTCCAACACATATATGACATTTAGAACAGTAAGCATGAAACGCATCTTGTCCTTCCATCGGGTGAAATTTGATCCATCAAATTTGTCTAACTTGTAGACATCTTGATTGATAATCTTCAAAGCCATGTTATCAGATTTGTTATCCATGACGAAAATAACACTTTAAGATTGTTAGAGTAAATGTAGAATTATGGAGAATAATCCGAATAATGACTTTGAGGTACGACTTGAATCGTTTCCTTAAAGTGTTATTTGCCCCCACTCGAATGAGTTTGCTAAAGAGTTCTTGACAAATCACTTCCAGGATACAACAAAATATGGAATATTCGATTAGCGAAACCGAATTATATTCCCTTAGAAATAACTAGAAAGAAATTGTATGAATGTGATGTAGAGAGAAAAGAGAGCAAAGAAATTATGTAGACAACAAATTTCTGAATAATTCTTTTCTACTAATGTCACCACTATATATAGAGAGAATTACACCCTTTAGACACATCCTTTGATTTGAGTATGTCTTTTCACCATGGGATATAACACATTGCAGCATTATGTCCAATGGACATATCTGATACAAATACCAATTACCCAAAGGTTATATATGTTGTAAAACATGCAGCAACCGTTGGGTATTAGCAAAAAGGTTGCAATGCTAATTTGAAAAGATATAATTGTTGGGTCAATGACCCAACTTTCCGTCAAACAGCCTCATATATATATATATATATATATATATATTATTTTTTAAATATTCAACAAAACCTTGTCTCCTCGTCGAATATTTGAACTGAGCAATCCAATTGCATAAAACCTAATAACTTTACACATCCAATTGCTTATCAATAATATTCAAACCTAGTTAGTTACAAAGCACCAAAAAAAATTGAGATTGTGTAATTTCAAAAATTGGAATCCCCTTCTTGAACGTGTGGACCCTTTTTTTACATGAAATTTTTCAATGATGGTGAAAATTTTGAAACAGATCCCTCTCCCTTTTTCCATACGTGAAAATGAAAAAAAAAAAATTCTCAAGAGTAGAGAAGGTGAGTGAACGATCGAGAGAGAGATGGAGGAGGGGAAGGGGATGTGGAGTGGAAGGGGAAGAATGAGGAAGTTTTCTCGAGAGAAATAATTTTTTTTTTAATTTAATCACTTCCTAAAATTATTGTCTTTTGGTGTAACATGGATTTTTTAAGTTGACAATTTAATCTGTCATAAGATTAATCTGATGACTCGTATAAAAAAGAACTTCATAGGTTTTCAAAACGAGGACATTAGAAGAGTAGTTCTCTTCAGAAAACAATGAAACCTATTGAACAAATAGGAACTAAATGAGAAATTTTTGCGTGCATAATATTTTCCACGTAATGTATTATTTTTCGTGTTATAATATAAATGAGCGACATAAATAATATATTTTAGTTATAGAACATATTAATAATAAATAAATATTTGTGTTATAATTTGAATATAAGAATACCATTAATTAGCACGTTGTGGATACACCAGAAACATATCTTAAAAAATAAACCCAGATTTACACCACGAATCTCATTCAATAATGCAAAACTGCAACATTATATTCAACAGTGGCAACACTAGCATTAAAGAAATAAGTCTTGGCCAACACAAATCCGCGTGCCAACCGAAAAACACCGGTTCCGCCGACGATGGGCAACTCTCTAACCAACTGCCCAACCGGGTTCCTCCCCAAAACGGTGAGGCTGCTGCCGTTGTGCTTCCAACTCCTGAAAACAAAGTTCATAGCCATAAGCAGGCTCACTTCCTCCTGTGAGGTAAACCCATATAGCCCTTGCGCCCGACCCACGAGCTTGGAACCGGGTTCGGGTCCCTGGGTCAAGGGGTTGTCGAAGATGTTGACTCGGCCGAAGAAGGTGGGTGATGTGAAGGTATGGGATGCGTTGGCCACCGCCACTACGGTTGGGTGTGGGCCGAGAACGACGTCGTGGAAGTAGAAATGCAGCCTGGTCAGCTTCTGTTTTGCATGGGGGAGGTTTTGGAACCATTGGTCAATGTTCTCCCTAGGGTTTTCAATGGTGCTCTGTACCATTAATGGCGCGGCCAGGCATATTATGAACAAATGGTTGAGAAATATTATTGAACCGACCTTTTCCATTTTTCTCTGTATATAGCAAAGCTTGAAGGGCAGGAAGGGATTATATAGTGGAACTATTGAAGCATAAAAAATTATATATTATATATTCTTCTATAGCTGTTTTGATTGTTTTGCCCATTGGTGGTAGCCCTTTTATAATTTTTTTTTAGTAATCAAATATGATGATCAAGGATTTGGTAATTGGAGAATCTGTATTCAGTTGAAATCCTTCTTGTAGTCATGTTGTAATGTATCAATGAAGTATCACTATCGCTTTTGTTAAAAAATAAAAATGGAATCAACAAAGAGTTGTTTTATAACCATTTCATTTTTATTTTTCACTTTTTATAAACTAAAAAGGAATGATAAGCACGAATCTTTTTCTCCTCTTACACCCCCTTCTTTATTTCAGGTCATAAGTAGATGAAGTTTTGTTTCTGTACAAGAGAAATGTTAAGAAGACTCTCTCAAAAGTGAGACTCTCCATGAACTCTCTGACACCTTATATTTTTGGCACAATGTTTTATAATATTGACATGATAATTAACGTTAAACTGTGAAGTGACAGAAAGTCCCACTTTTAAAAGAGTCTCTTAGCATTTCTCTTTGTATAAATAAACAAAATGCAAGATGATAACTAAAGGTTCATGTGTACCACTTACTAATTAAAAAAAAAAAATCGTTATCAAACAATGGCTTCAGATTTTTTATTTTCCCCTATGGGTAATGCTAGGGAGACCAAAATTTTAAACCAAATTTACAAACCAAATGATGTAGTTGTTGATAATTAGATTATTACTTAAGCGTTGATTAATGTGCTTATTTCTTATTGGTGACACATCATTTGGTTTGCAAATTTGATATAAAATTTTGATTTCTCTAGCATTATTCTTTCCCCTAGTATCATCTTTAGTTTCAATTAGCATAATCCAATGCGCACTGATCTACTCCCTATGTGTTCATCGAGAACGAAAATAAAGAATCTAGACTAGTCAATAGAGGCCAAATTGATGATGGGAGTGATAATTTGGCTCATTAAAATAAGGGAAAACTAATCAAAAGGGCTTGAAAATTTTGAATTTTAACCAAAAACCATATACAAACTTTATTTAATGATAAGGACAAAAAATAAAAAATAAAAAAAAAATAAAAAACAATCCAACCTAACCGCATGTAAGCACGCACCAACCAATTCAATTATCAAATCAAGCCTCTGCTGTGACTGAGCAGATAGAACTGATAAGAAGACTAACGTGCAGTGCAAAATAAGTAGTGGGAGTAGTACAATGAATGATGAGATGGAATGGATGGATGAAATAAATTATTTTTAAAACATTTCATTAGGAAGGAAAACGTGAGAGTGAAGCTTCAATGGCTTTTATTCTTTTAGAGAGGGAGAGAGAGAAATCTGTTTACGTACAGAAAGAAAGAAAAGAAAAGTAGTAATTTTCAACAGAAAATAAACAGTGCAAAAGCAGCACCCAAATTACCTTTTAAATATTTCATCGGAAAGGAAAAGGTTCAGAGAGAGAGAGAGAGAGAGAGAGAGAGGGAGTGTAAGGCAGAGATTGTGAGGGTAGAGCCAACCAAATCCTTTCAAACTGACATCAACAAACTCCAAAAATAATTTAAAAAGAGAGAGAAATTTGAGATAAAAAAAATATATTGCTGACATCAATACATGACAGTAATTTGTAAGGAAATATTTTAAAAAATAGCGATAGTGCTAGTGTTCGATTTTAAGAAATAGTTAGTTTTTTGTTTAAGAAATAGTCAGTGCTTAGTTTACGAAATAGTTAGTTTTTTGTTTAAGAAATAGTTAGTGCTTAGTTTACGAAATAATGACAGTACTAGTTTACGAAACAGTGATAATACTAGTGTTTGGTTTGAAAATTAGTCAGTGCTTAGTTTATGAAATAGTGATAGTACTATTACTTGGTTTAATATATAGTGTATTGTGTTCGGTTTAAGAAATAGTCAGTGTTTAGTTTACAAAATAGTAATAGTACTAGCGTTCAGTTTAAGAAATAGTCACTGTTCAGTTTACAAAATAGTCAGTGTTTAGTTCAAGAAGTAATGATAGTATTAGTGTTCCGTTTAAGATATAGTGAGTGTTTAGTTTAGGAAATACTGTTCAGTTTAAGAAGTAGTCAATGTTTGTTTTAAAAAATAGTGTTCGGTTTAAGTAGTCAATGTTCAATTTAAGAAATAGTGTTCAGTTTAAGAAGTAGTCAATGTTCTGTTTAAGAAATAATCACAGTATTAATGTTCATAAAACTGAATAATGGAATTTTTCTTTATTTTGTAATATTATTACTTAGTTTGTTCTAAAACAATTCAAAGAATAGTCAAATAAACAAATAATAAAATAAAAATAAAAGGTTTATGGAGTGAGGTGAAAGGAGAGAGAAGAGTGGGGAGAGGTGAAAAAAAAAAGAAAAAAAAAAGTTGATGTGGATGGGTGAGGTGAAATGAGAGAAAAAAATGGATGGGAATATATGAAAGAGGAAGAGAGAGAAAGAGGTTGATCGGCTAAGTGAGGAAGAGAGTGTGTGTGTGTGATGGGGACCGCGCGTCACTATATGTTTTTTTTTGTTTTTTTTGTTTTGTTGTTATGTAAAACTTTTGTCATTTTCATTAAAATTTGAATCATTTTTATTGAAGTTTAAGCTTTTTTTATTAAATAAAGTTAGTAGATGGTTTTTGGTTAATTAAAAGTTTTGAGAAACTCTTTTCATTAAAGTTCCCTTAAAATAATCCAACGCATGGTTTGCATGGCAAACAACGTTTAAACACCAAAGACATTTAGCCTTGTGGTTTTTGCTGGCGACATTTTGTGTTTTATACTGGACTTGGTGAGCAAAGTTTTGATTCTTTGCTGGCGATATGAATGTATTATTTTTTTGACCCAAATTAGTTTTTAGGGTCAACAATTATACACTTAAAACCACATTTCCATGGACCAATAAAGAAAAAGGAAAATTAACGAAAAATCCAATTTTTTTTTTAGTTTTAATGAAAAATGACAAATAAAGGTGTAGTGAATAGTACCAAGGAAAGATAAATATGTGGTTTTTCGTTAAAAGTGAACAGTAACGGGAGTGTTTCGTTAAAAGTCCAAAAAAAAAAAAAAAACTAACAAAAAGTTCCAAAAAAAAAAGAACATTATCTTTTTCTACTTCATTGAGGAAGTTAAAAGAAACTTCAATCAGAAAATGACGGAGTTTCAAGTATGAGATTTTTTTTTTATTTTTAACAAAATATATTATCTATACTACAAGGAAGGGGGTTGGGCTTAGCCTGACAATGAGCTAGCAATAATGTGATTCAAATTCGCCTTTAGTGAGAATTGAATAGAAGACCTCTCAGGAACCACTAGACCGTAGTACTAAGTAGCAAGTATGAGACTTAAACTTGACGAAGCTCAAAAGGCATTGGATTATCAACAAAGTGCAAACTTAAAATTGGTTAAATTCATAAGACCCAATCCATGAGCTAAGATTTTGAATTTCATGTTTCCACAAACGATTAATGTAGAATACGTAAGTCACACCTTGATAATTAGTTGTCAATTCATCTACAATCTATATCTTGGAGCGATCCATAGACGAGCTATCGGTGTGGAGGAAATTAGGATTTCTCTCTCTAGCCTTGCTTGCACGTTAAAACCCAAATACGTGTTTTCATTATGTGAACTATTATAGGCAGAGAGATGACCTGTTTCTCAATGAAGTCCATCATCAAATACCACCCATCATGGTAATAAAATAGGAAATCAATTCTCATAATTTGACAAGTAGGATTACTTTCAAAAGAATATTCATTAAATCGAATATCTCACACATGGACTATGTCATGTGAGCCACTACAATATTGAAATATTCTTACATTCTCCCACTTGACTCATATGATACATATGCCTTATGTTTTAATAGATAGACATTATAAGCGCATTATATTTGAAAGCACCCTCATTATCAAATAGCCAGCATAGATATTGATTTTATGTAATTCACTAATGCAAGTCAAGGTGGTTTTAAATCTACGGACATAATTCCTTCCATGTACCACAACGCTAATAAATCATTCAAAACGGTTAATTAGTGAGAAGTCAATACAAAGATCCAATAATATCTTTGTCAAAGAATATTTCTGTTATCAAACATCCAATCTCATACATGCATACATATATTGGAAAACTGAAAATATCAAAAACATCACCAATTATTGAGCTCAGGGTGCTAACTTAAAGATTTAAACATTATGCACCCGATCATTACTACTGTCATGACTATTCCCATAATTCTTTCAACATATTTCATTTATGTCTTCGGTCACATCTAATTCTTGATGGGGTTGCAAGCATAAGTTTTGTCATCATGACACTTGGTTTATGAATCTCTTTTATAATGACAAGGTATTTTCTCCTTCTTTCCGTTATGTTTAGCATCCTTATAATAGTTGTCATTATTGGAGGATGTTACGATTACAACATTACTATAAATTCTCGACGGTTTGGTAATAAAACATAAGTACCAAGTCCAAGATAAAATTTGCAACTGTGGCCTCAAAGCAAACCACAATCCCAACAATACATAATTCTTTTCATAAATCGATGGTCCAATTTTTTATGGATATTACATAAGGCTAAACTTGTCCCTTTACTGAACTGGATAATTGTGGAGCAAAAAAAAATTCCAAAAATTATAAAGATGACATATGGATTTTTTCTCAATAAAGACACAAATGCTCTCATTAAATGGTAGGGCATACAAATGTTCACATATGCAACTCAGAATCCTGAAGGTCCAAGCAGCTGACTGCGTCTACTCAAAACTCCCTTTGCTTGTGGCATGGAAAAGTCAAGGGCATTAAAGATATGATTAATTACTAATCATAACTTTAATACATTCTCAATTGAAGATCAACTCCATCAAGTAAGGAATTTTAATCACAATTAATCATGAGTGTTTCCATCATCATCCTAAGATATCATCTCTTAATTAATATCTTGGGAATATTGTTCCTCATTCATCCGAAGGAGGCATCCAGACTAGAAAATCCTCAAGATAAATTTTATTCCA